AGCAGGATTTAACAAATGTCCTCTGATTGTAAAAGGTTAGGAATAGCTTGTTGTAATGGTTACGCTTTCATTCTCAGGAGAAAACTGGTGCCAATAAAGACATTTCACCAGATGCCTTGAAATCTAAAAATCAACTCCCAGCTCTGCCACAAGTGCCACACTTGATCTTCAAGAAGCACTGCTGATTTGTGGAAGAACTGGTTTGTTATTTTTCACTTCCTTTCAGTTTTAGTAATCAGTGCTTTAACTGGAGATGCCCCACTGCCTGCAGAGCCAGCACAGTGAGACCATGAACACAGGGCCACGGTACTGAGATGTTTGTCAAAGAGGACACCTGACCAGTATGACATTTGCACTCACATTCCAAAACTTGTGGTGAAGACTGTGTGTACTGCCTCCATTAATCCTACATATATTGCTAAATTCTGTCCAAAATGAGCCTAACTACCTATTTTCTCACTATCATTAACTACTAGACAATTCTCTCAAACATGGAACTAAATCAAACCACCACAGTAATTTAATTTCCCCAAGAAGCGTCTTGTTCTAAAACTTTTACTCATGTTTCTGAGTTCATGCAAGAAGTAAACGTGTCACCTAAGAAAGGCACTAACAACTGGCTACCCAAGACTTTTTCAATTACAATCTCCTTTCACCCCTAATATTGACATAGTAAATTTGAAGTGACTTCAACAAGAAGAGATCAGGAGTCTCACATCAAAATATCCTAGCCAGGAACCTACTGGGTATTTACATAGGACATACAAATTACTTCAGAAAGGAATTGCAAATCATCTTGACACAGTGAGTTACCATGCAAGACTGGCACATTCAAAACTTGAAATTGATCTAGACAAAAAACAAAGCTACTTTATAGTCTGCTGTGATTCTAGTTCCTATGCCCAGTACTGCTTATTTCACAAAAAAAACAGCCTGCAAAGAAGAACAAACAGTCCTGAGAGCACAAATGTCAGCTTGGGACAGCTTCCTCCCGGCCAAGTGCATGTGGCACTGGGCAGCTTGCTCAGCTGTGGTGTCAGGCTCATGCTCTCACTTCCACCATCCCTTTTAGCCTCACACCGCCCAGCTTCGCTAGCCCAGGTAAAGGGTGACTCCATTCACAGCCAAGTCCGTCGTTGAAGGATAAGACATTCTCCTGGTGCACACAGATCATGGGCCCCAGCATTTCAAGGGGCTTGGTAGCTACAGCTTGATGGACAAGTGCTTCAGCCATCAAAAACACCTACTTAAAATGTTACAGACCAAAACCAACAACCACCTTCTCGTCTGAATGCATTTTCAAAGAGTACTCAAACAGGTACACAATGTGCTAGACTGCAAAGGCTCAGAGTTATTCTGAAATGATCAGCATCCAGAGTACTAAAAAATGCAACAAATCTTGGAGGATTGCAATCTACAACAAGTAATGCTCATATGAAAATTAATAATGGAATGATCTTAATTATTTGATTAAATAATTGGCCATTCTAAATAACCTCTGAACAGATTAACAGTTCAAAGGCTTGTTCCTTCAAAGACTAAAAAATACTAATGATTTCACCAGTCATTTACAATGCAAGTTAAATATATGATAAACAGCTTTCAGACTAAATTCTAATTTGATGGAAGCCGTTCTTTATTCACTCTATTTCTTGAACTGGAAACAATTCAAGCCTGCTTGTGGTGTGTTCTCCTTATGAAAAACCCAAGTGAGAAGGCTTTGGGTTTCTGGTTGGTTGGTTGGTTTGTTGGGGTTTTTTTAAAATTATTATTTTTTTTTTTTCAGTAGTAGTAGAAATATTTTTATAACTCCAAAGAAAAGGCTACATTAAAACAATGCAAAGAACTCATGGAAACATCCTTAGATAACCTAAAAAATGAGAAAGTTATTGGCATCAAATATGAACATGCACATCGGTGCTCAGAACCCCTCCTCTGTAAGGGTATGCTCTCAAATCAGTTCATGTCATCACCTCCCTGAAACTGGAGAGAAAACAAACCAGTAACTTCTGCCTCCTGAAAAGACTGAGGTAATACGTGGGTTTTTCCATCATGTGATAACAAGCTGTCCTGGTACAAACTAGAAAAGTAATTTAACACTTATCAGAAGAATGCATTAATATTTCCTTGACTGGATGTTAGCTGAAATCAGGAGAGAGCCTTTGGAACATGGTTTGCTGATTCTTTTAGAGGTACTTTAAGAAATACAAACTTTTGACACCAGGCAAATGTATGTGTATCTTTTCATTGCTTGCAAGTGTCTTCTGGATGTTGCAATTAATATTAAATGTGTATAGTTAATTTTAAATTATTAGAAACCATCATATGCTGTAATGAAAAAGATAAGCACATTTTTGTCCAATTTTCAAAGCAAAAATGTAAAATACACTCAAGTTTAGGGGTAGTTCTGTACAGTTTCTCCAAGTCTTGGAAAGTCAAGCCAAGATTTTTTTGTAGAGAAAAAAAAAAGACCACTCTAGCATAAAAACTGGAGGCAAAGGTTACGTTTAAGCACCTTAAGACAGTCACCATTTGAAAGCACTGCTAAATATCGACTAAACCACTTACTGTGATTTTGGTAGCTTTGTTCAGAACATTCACCCATTCAACTAGGTCCTGCTGATCATTGGCTTGTAGAAAGTATTTTCTCATCCCTGCATTCATAACTGTTAAAAAGCATTATAAAAAAGTTAACAACACTGAAATTTAACAGCAAACTTAACAGAGATTTGTTTTCAGATGGAAAATCCAGAAGCATTTAAGTGCTCTGTTGTATTTCTTTTCAGAAAGTCATCTTAAGATACATACATCCACTTAACAGGCTTGTTTTACTCTAAAAACATCTATTTTTTTTTAAAGCTCTTCACTTAAATGGCATCAAACACCATTTGTTAAATGATTTTAATTACATGAAAATAAAGCCTTGAATTTTATCAGAATTTTCTACAGCTTCACTTCCCTTTTCTCAATTTCCCTAAGCAACTAAGCTTTATACTTGGGGACTTCTACAATTTCTCCTTTCAACCCTCTGACCAGTATTTATTATCCTTTGCAACAAAATTACTAGCATGACTATGATCACTGAGTTTTGTTTTTTTTGCTTGGTTTTGTTTGTTTGTTTTGTGTTTTGTTTTTTTAAAGAAATTGTGGAAAAATCAGTATTGATTACTAAGTATACTATGCTCAGGATGAAATAACTTTAAAATAACCACAACATTAAAACTTTACTTTACTTTAGTGACTTGGCAGAGAAAGTATATTTTTCCTAAGTTTAGATATCTACCTGGCAACACCTTGCATACCATTATCCAAAAAAAGACCAACATATTTCTGTGTAACAGTAAAAAAAGTCAGGGTTAATTTTCTCTCAAACTACCCTGAAATTATTTTTAAGGTGAACAGTGACTAAATAAAACCTTCACAGAACTTTGAAGGAATGCAGCTAAAGTCTGAACGGATTTCCCTGCTCTACCTATAACATAACAGCTCTTCAGGTCATCGCTAACAGCAAACACATGCCAGGAACAGATACTTTTTCCTCTGTCATCTTTCTCCCCAAAGTGGATAGTTTGAAGCAAACATTATTAGATGCAAATATAAATTGAAAATACAGAGCTGTATAATGAATTGACTGAAATAACAATTCCTGGTATTTAATTAAATAAGACAAATGTAAACTTGTCCTCTAAAAAGTATCAAAAATTATTTAATAAATCAGAAATATTAAAAGTTTTCAGACAGCCTCTTCGACTGCTGAGGTTTTTTAGAGCCAGTCCATCGACAAGAGCAACTTTACAACTGATGAAGGCAAACACCTCTACAGAGGCATGTGCAGAAGGATCTGTAGATGGCACTGAATTGACACGCTGCAGCCCAGAGATGAATCCCTGAAGCCTTACACACGAGGGTGATTTACCAAGCATTTCAGGAGCTGCAGCCCAGAGACTGCACAACTCTGGTGGAGCTGCCTTCTCTGGGCCTGTACCACACTGCACGTGGTAAAGGACAACTTAACTAATTGTCCTAAAACCTCCAGGCATTTTCAGTACCTTCCTCTGAGCTAAAACTCTTCAGTGAACGCAGTCCTAAAGAATGGTTATTCATAAACAGAGCAGAGGCTCATTCCAGTCTCTACACCTGCTTTTGTGAATGCCAACTGCCTGTCAAAACATTCTGGAATTATGGTAAATTCTGGACAAATTACATATAAGAAAAATCTAAAAGGGGCTTTTAAGATTATCTAAAGCTTTACTCAAGTTTAAACAAGTTTAACTATCAATAAACCTAGAAGGTACCCCAAGCAAATTTTGCTCTTCAGTGTAGCAAGAGAGGCTGAAATTTAACATAAGAGCATTGCTGACAGTATTTTTAGATAAATTAAATCAACTGTTTTATCAGTAATACAGATTAAAATAGTTAAATCACTTGTCTTCATAGCTGACAGGCATGTCATGTTTCTGAAAACACCCATAATTTTCCCTTAGCTTATTAATGTCTCAAAAATTTCAAACATCTGAAAAACAGCTCTCACCTATTCCTCATTAAGCTGCAATACAAAATGCTACAAAAACACCTTATGAAGAAGCAAACATTTCCCTCATACTAAAGAAGAAACAGCAGATACAAGCTATTTATTAAAAAATACACTACCAGTTGTACCTAGTAACAGAATTGCAGAACATTATCCCTGTTTCAAATTTCTGAAGACTGTACTTGATGCACAAGCTGCACTCAAGAACTTACCAAAACAGAACTCTGCCTTTGGCCTTAGCTTAGTTGCATCGCTAACCTAGGAGAGAAATTAAGATTATAAGTGTCACTGTGCATACAAAATATACATCAGGTCTCACAATTTTTTTTCTCTTTCAAGTGGCTAAATCTGAAGATTAGCAGCATAGCAAGCTTGTTCAGTATAAAGTACACAGGTATAAAAAAATACTACATAAAATTCAGTTCCAGATGTGCAACCTATGGTAAGGAGACTGCTCTAGCTGTATGTTTCTATTCCTTAAATTTAAGGATTAATTACCAGACCAATGTAGAAATCTGAAAACAAAACACTTCTACTTACATCTTGAAGTTCTACATCTCAACTGAATTAAAAATTCAAGGACATTTCCTACTGTCAAGGACATCAGTTGCATTTTGGTTTATGAACACAAAAAGAATAAGAGTCACTTTTCTTTAGGAGTGTCTAAAGTGTTCCAGTGTTGGGGGAAGATCAAGGAGGTGTCCTGTTTTGAGAGGCATTGCCATTTTTACACTACAGAGCACTTCTATCAAGGGAGAAGGTAAAGCAGCCTCTCACATCAAAACCTTTTCTTTCTGGCCAAAAAAAACCCAAAACCAAAACCAAAACCACGTACTTGGTAACTAGAACTATGGCAAGTTAGACAGAGCCTCTGCAGAGGAGGCACACTCGACCTGCCTTCAACAGTGCACCTAGGTACAATGGCACAGGTGACCACCCCTGCTCCCATTAGAGGCGAGACATAAGATTTCAGATTTCTTAAGATAGCAACTGTGAGGTTCTGGGGCAAAGAAAGCATAGAAGGAAAAAACCATGAAGAACAAAAGCAGGACTCCACAGACACTTCTGTACTCACGACATAACCAGCATCAGTGATACCTTGTACAAGAATTAAAAAAATAAAAATGCAGTATGACAACAAAAAAAAAACAAAGGACAGATGTGAAATGAGCAGAAAAGAGAAGGTCATTTGTTTTTCTCCAATTATTTGTTAATGCAGCATCTGCTACAAACTTAACCATGGACCATGGAGACAGTTTTCTTTCAGACATATTTGGCAGTGAGTGTATGCAGAGTGCAATGAATGAAGTCTTTTATAGAAATTTTTCTGTTCTGTCTATTAAAGATCCCTCTTACTTACAAACTATCACACCCAAAGACTTATCTTCCACTTCATAAATGACCTGTCTTTTCTCCAATACTAACTGGAGTTATAATACTGATAAAGAACTGACACATACTGTTCAGAAATATTAATACCATGCAGTACAAAGAGCTGCCATCTGAAATCACAAACCAAACCTAAACAACATAGTAATCAATCTGTTCTTATTTTAACCTGATACTATTGAAGAGCTTGTAACACTTCTCTAAAATTCAGGAGTAGTACACGAGCAAAAAGCTTCCCATGTGCTACTTAAGTAAGATGTACTTAAAACTGTCTGAAGTTGAAGCCTTCAGAAGCAGCCCTTGGTAGTTATCACTGAAATTTAGCAGCAAGTCTCTTACATATCATCTTACCTTTGAAATATAGGTAAGTTTAATGACTCCAACAGGTGGAGATCCAGACGGAAGATTCTGAAACAAATCATATGTTACAAAGTGAAATTAGTTTATTCTCATATCACAGTCAGTGTTTAGTCAGAAAAAACAAATAATTCCACAAACAAAAAGAAAATCCTACGTGTTTTTCTAGACAATACATAATGTACGTTGGAAACAGGATCTAAACTACTTGTTTATTATACACACATCTGTTAATCAACTAAAAACAGAAAGACTGCTAGAAACAATACAAATAGTAATTGTTTCAGAGCTTTATGTATTTTACTAGAGGAAAAAGGATTCTTGCAGGTCTGCATCCAGGAAATCTGGAAAGAATACTTGTTCCTTAACAGATGTTAGAGTTTTATGTATTTTGACCAGGGCAGGCGGAAGGGACAAGAAGTGACATTCATCTATTATGTCAGATACTTCAAAGGCCATGTCACGTATTTTCTAAAACAGACTGAAAAATCAGTCTTACCATTTGATATTAAAGTTATTGCAGGAAAAGACCATGATCATTCCTAAACTTGCAGTTAAGCCTAAATAGATTTACAGTCCAAAAAGGAGCTGTCCATTGTTTTTCCGTCCTTGCTTAATACACTAATCTTAACATTTACGTTGCTATTCAGTCAGCTAGTAGCCTAGAAAATAATAGAGCATCACAAAACATAGTTAACTTTTTTATTAACCCTTTCTCATTAAACTGTCTTCCTAATTTTAATCCTTTAAACAGAGCATTGTTTTCCATGTACTTTTTTTTCCATTACAGTTTTTAACTTTCAAAATGACCGTTTAGGTTACAGAATCATTCCTCCCACTACAGGCCTCCCGGGAGACCTTAAGAATGGTACTGCATCTGCTCACTGATGCTTTCCCCAGACAGATTGCTCTTCATTACTCTGTAGTGTCTTAGAAACTTCCACATTGCAAAGAGGAGCACAATGCTACTCACAGAGTCAGAAAAACAGGCAATTAAATGGTTTATACTCCGTTCATATTTCAAAGGTAAGAAGGTTTGTTACCATAGACTGCTAACACTGAAATTTAAAAAAAAACCCCAAAAAGTCTTCTCATTCTGTCCAAATAAATAAAGTTTTATTTTATCAGAATGGTTTTGATCCCAGCATACACCAGTTTTATAGTCTTTATATTAGGATAATAATGTATGGTTAATGGTAGACATTATTTCTTTGAACAGCTGAACTGATTTTCACAGATACAAACACAGCACTTCTATCAGCAAAGGGCCCAGTTCTGCACACACCACAGACTCATCCTTTATGCAGAGTTTCATCACTTCAAAGATTAAGAATGGTCTCCACAGAGCAGATCTATAAAAACTCTGTTGTTCTTCAGAATTAAAGCAGTGGAAGAAAATCAAGAAGCTTCAACTTCCTCTTGCAAGGCACCCTTTCATTTGTACAGAAATGGTGACATTGGAGGGAAAAAAAAGCTAAGAAAGCTTAAACTAAAAACCCTTACAGGTGTGTGCTGCAAATATCATTAGTCTTCAAACTTCTGAAGAATTGCAATTTCTACAGCATTTCAAGTTTTTGCCCTGGATATATCACAGCAGAAACTGAAGAAAAGAACTGCTTCATATAAATCACTGAGATCAAATGTTTGAAGTATTTTATTTTCAGAAATGATTTCTTTCTTCTCCTCAGTAAGAACTTCTGAATGCTTCAGTCACAAGTCACATTCACTGAACTATATATACACCATTTAATTTTGTTGTTGTTGTTCATTCCTTTGAACAGCAGACTTTACTGCATTTTGCTGTGGTCTTCCTGGCAGCATGGTGCACAAATATTCTTCTGGCAGACAGCTGTCAGCTGACCTAGATCCTGCGCTCTGTCCTAAACCCTCAGCAATCATCTGTTCTCTCCTATGCTAGAAAACATTGATGTGTGTACATTGTAAAAGCAGCTTTTATAGAAAGGATTCTGCCCACCAGGATGGATACAAGCTTTCCTCATTCACATCCTACTCACGCTGTATTGAAATTGCAAACATCATTGGAAATTGCTTTTCAATGACTGATTCTCTTCAGGTGGAGTAATATGAAACTAACTGACCCATGCAATGCAAGGCCACAGCTAACCACATAAGGTTAAAGATGAATTAAAAGACCTGTGTAGTGAAATGAGGATGTGATTTGGTTCATCTGGTTATATTATACAGCACTACCTACCGCCTGCGAGAAGCTGCAACGCTCACTCAAGACACTTAAAATAAATACAGCACATCATGACTCAATACTAATGAGTGATTTACGTGTGGGATCAAATTCAGATCCCCATATGTGCCCTAAATCTCCTGTTGATACTTAAGATTCCGTATGTTGGCAATTCACTGATGTTCAAGTTGTTTTTAATGTTTTACTATTAAGTGTAATTGGTAACTTTATAAATAGAAATAGGAACTATATTTTTTCTTTAAAAGACTGCACATATTAGCAAAGAAGAAACACTGATCTACAATTATTTCACTTCTGTAACTATTTTTTTTCCCTGGCTTCCAGGTCCATAAGCTAACACTAAACCCCATTTTTCTTAAGTAAATTTGATTAAAAATCTGAAAGAGTGGAAATTGATAGAAGCCAGAAAACTATTGCCAAGAACATCTCACCTGTGGGTTATCCATGTACCACACCAGACTGTCTTCTCTTGTGTCCAGAATGAAGTACCGCCGCAGGAATTTCCCACTATTCTCATTTTCTTCAATATCTAGGAAACCACAAATGCGATTCTGACGATCCACATAAGGCATTTCTGACCCTGAACATCACACTGCAGAACAAAAAAGCACAGAAGTTAAGCCAAGTTCCTCGTTACTAATTTTACAACTGTTATGTGCCCACCCCATGACATTTTCAGCAGTTTCAACTAGTAGCTAAAGAAGTTTCTACACAAAAAAATAAATGAAGCGTAACCATTCCCCCCCCCCACTAGCACTAAATTTTTACATAGGTCTTCTTAATTCTTTGATATCCAGTACCCAAAGTGCAAAGATACAAGTGCTAAATGGTGGGTGAGCATCAAGACCAGCTTTTAAAAGATCACTAAAAAATAATCCAAGATTCTCCTTCACAACTTGCACAAAGTTGAGGTAACTCTAGGTCTACACTTCCTCCTTTGACGTTGCCTTTCACGGTCAAGAAAGGATCTTTGTCAGCAGCTCTACTGTCCAACGTGATTTTGCATATTTTGCTTAAGTGAATTTAACAAAAAGGCTTTTTAGAAACATTGCTCACATTTTTCTTTTCTCCTACAAAAAGGACTTCACGTCTAACGATGTCTCAGAACAAACATCTTTTCATTTTTATACATGAAATAGCCAAAATGAAGTCTTGTGTGTAGCAGTAAGAGATGTGAACACACTTGCTAGTCCCAAACTGAAATCCCCGATGTCCACGTGGTGCTGAGTTTGAGGCTGGTAGGCTTTTAGTTTTTTTTTTCCCCCCTTCCTTTTTTTGTTTTGCTTTAAAAATTAATTAAATAAAAATCTGTACTGCTGACCACTTATTCCTATTTTGCCTGCTTCACCTTTTATGGTTCTGACTTACTGCAGGCTATTGCATCATTTTTTTGCTTCCTTTTATTTTACGGGACAGTCATTTTACCTTAAGAGTCAGTTTTGTGAGACCAAAGATAAATTTGCATCCTTATCTGAAAACAGCAGCAAACCAACATTTAAACGTGATAAAAAGCAGGTTGATGCCAATCTTTCCCAGAGAGGGAAAGAAACAATTCAGTCCTCTTTACATTTTGTTACAAAACTCCAAAATAGTACATCGCTCAAAACATTAATATGCCACGTAGGAGGTTTAAGCATTTCACACTTTTCATAACATCTTCCAGCTTTCACTGTGTAATATGAAAGTTTCTTCTTAGTATTTCTTGAAATTGTTTACCTTTAGTGTTTCCTTGCTTAAAGTTATTTGATTTAAATAGTTATAAACACACAGAAAGAGGCAGATGCCTGATAACTGTTTGTAACTAGATATTGACACACCACAGTAAAGCATGATATATGGTTCAGCACATTTTAAAGCATTTATTTTGGGGAATAAGATATACAGATAAGTGTATATTTATTTTGGAGGATCAGATATACAAATATACAGACCCATGCTCGTATTTACAGCTGTCCTTTTATATGACTAATTAGAATACTAGTCAAATTTTTCTTCAACCATTTCAGAAAAAAATTTCAAAAATCTATTCTCATTATTTTGATACCATATTAGAAGAATTTCTAGTAAACAGTTTAAAACAATTTAATTCCATCTGTAAAATAATTAATCTTTTTGTGCCCAACACCAACCTAATCTCCTGGTGCTGATTCAAGTCTGGCATGCTAAGTCTGGCATCAGGGACCAAACAAATTCAATTCAGTGGTATTTACAAAGTTGAAGAGGTAACAGACTATTAAAAATGTTAGTGTTGGATTGTTTGGTTTTTTTTTTTTAATATAAGCTATTAAATTCTAAAATTATATGCATTTTTGTGATAACAAAGTTAACACACTGTTGTTTGAGACTCAAGACATTTTCTACACAGCTGCAAGGACATTAAGTGGGCATAAGCCTTGCATTAAGCACTTGACTGATTTGTTCTTGTTTCCACCTCTGAAATGTAAAAGTAAAAGGTAAAAAGGAGGTAAAATACCTTCATATTTAAGGTATGGTTTAAAACTTCAAAGGCATAGGTTTGCTCTTCAATAAAGTAACCAAATTTGAGATGGCAATCTAAATCTTATTAGCGTGCTCCTCAATTTAAATATCACAGATCTAAGACAACTTCTGGAGCCGCGTTATAAGCAACAGCACAAACAAACACAGGAGCACTGGGAAGACAATGTCATCATCGTAATGCACGTTGATCAGGAATTCACACGCCGGCTCCTGGGATCACTTTACACTGAAGCAACATAGAATCATAGAATCACAGACTGGTTTGGGTTTGAAAGGACCTTAAAGCTCCTCCAGTTCCAACCCCCCTGCCATCAGCAGGGACACCTTCCACTAGACCAGGTTGCTTAAAGCCTCATCCAGCCTGGCCTTAAACACTTCCAGGGAGGAGCAGCCACAGCTTCTCTGGGCAACCTGTTCCAGTGTCTGAGCACCTTCACAGGGAAGAACTTCTTCCTAATATCTAACATCTCACTACAAACACATCTGTGGCTAGGGGCAAGCGTAGGGGTAGCTGTCCTCTAAATTATATCTTTAAACAGGCAGAAGTTGGCATCACACATTGTTTTCATTCAAATTAATTAAAAAGAAATGTGACATTTACCAGTATTGTCCTCAATTGTGCCAGGTGGGCTCTCAACAAACTATCCAGCACTTCTGGGACACAATTTCAGCTTCTTATCAACATTTTATGAAGCCAAAAAAAAAAAGCCTTCTGCCTAAAAAAAAAAAAAGAAAGCAAATATTGGTGGCTGGTTTCCTGTTTGAATAGGGTTAAGCTGCATTCTCTGCAGATGTGGAGAAAATGAAACAATGAAAACTTGTTTTTGAAAAAAGATACAAATTGATTAAGAATTCTTGAATAAAATCTACTGAATATTAAAGGATCTTTCAAAAAAACTTTAGAAAAAAAATGAAAGGAAGATACTCATAGTGTACTCATTACAGCATACAACTAGCTAAAGCTTAACTACTCCAATACTTGATTTCTTTTTTCCAAGCCAAAAGATAAAATTCAGAAGCTTTCTCTTATCTGTCAATGAACCAATTTCCACAGAAAAAAAACCCCCCAAATTCATACAGATTTTCTATTTCAAAGTACTACTAGCTAATTCCTAGCCTATAAAGTAATAGTATTTGCAGGTCCTTTGTCCTCTGATGAAAATACAGGATAAACTATCATTAATTTAAAAACTTAAGTTGTATAGCTGCTGGTTTCTTCAGATTAGTTTGAAATTCCTCACAGGATTACAACTACAGCTCATTTCCTCACAGCTACCCGACTGATGCTCTTAAAGGATAAGAGATTAAAAACCCTCTAACTTTATTATAAAATTGAAATCAAACATGAAATCATGCAACTGTTTTCCAGTTTTAGAAGTCTGCTTCCATCACATTATAGCTTGGCAAGATTCCACTGTCAATTAATATCAATTCAATTCAGCTTTCATTAACGAACCACAATTTGTAGTGCACATTAAAAAAATAAATAATCAATTTGTGCTTTTCTTCCAGTTACTAAAGCAACTGAACACACATGACAAAGCCACCACTATGACACCCTTCCTGACCAAAACAAGCAACAATGATAGAATGACCACATTACTTCTAAGGATTCATAAAATGAATTGCAGAACTTCAACATCAATCCTTCAGTGGAGGAAATCTGGTTAGAAGGCCACCAGCCTAACACCTCACTAGAAAATTCAACTTAAAATTGTGTTCAGAATATGGACCCTGTCTTACACAGATAATTTCATTAAAAATAAATCATATTTCAGGTGATTACAAAAAAAACCCCTCCCAGTCTGTGTATGTTTTACAGCTCATACTACATGCACACTTGGTTATTTTCTGCAGTAGAATCTGTAGCACAGAATAGTGTCATAACTCTTCTGCCTACTATGATATTAGAATCTAATATTATAAAGACTATGAGTTCTTAAGAGAGAAAACCTGAAGGCATCAAACCTATAACAGATGACATATAATTTCATTTTATTTTGCCTTCCCTCCCTGGAGTGGGGTGGGGCAGGGGAGGGAGGAGACATGGGTGAATGACATAGTGCTGCTTCAGAAAAAATATCCCTGTGGCCCATTTCCTCTTGGTTCTTGTCATAATCCACCAGAACCTAAATATTTTTGAAAACCCATTTTGTGGTGTATATTGACACTCGTGTAAAAATTCAGAAAACTCTCAGCTCCTTAAAATTCCTTCTTGGAGGGTTGTGTTACAATCCAAACAGGAGGTCTCACTTATTTTTGAAGTCTTACATCCCTCTTTCCAGTGGCAGTGTACTAATTTAAGTAGGGACATACCTCATCAGCCCAGCTTCTCTCAGATTTCTCCTCTCGTTGCTTTTTTTCCCCCCTCTGGGGTATAGCATACACCAACATTCCTCAACATTTATATCACAAACTGAAGGCTGCCTGGCCTCCTGGGCACCACTATAAATAAAAATCACAGATCACCTTCTCCCAGCCTATGACTGTAAACAAACGACTGCACAACCAGGACCTGCAGAGACACACAAGCATCTCGTCTGCACCATGTAGAACAGTCTGCTCAAAGTCTCCTACATTCATTTCTATTTTAGCTTCACACCAGCACCTGTTCTTGAGTTCACCTCCTTTACATTTTGGTTGCAGCTTCTGTTATAGAATCATAGAATGGTTTGGGTTGGAAGGGACCTTAAAGATCATCCAGTCCCAACCCCCCTGCCATCAGCAGGGACACCTTCCACTAGACCAGGTTGCTCAAAGCCTCATCCAGCCTGGCCTTCAACACTTCCAGGGAGGGGGCATCTACAACTTCCTTATCTCTAAGTACAAAGTCTGTACACTATTGAAGTGGCACGCAAGGTAACATTTCCGTGGCCTCATCCCTCCTTTGACAGCTGATGCTCCATTTCCACAAGGAGGCAAAACCACAGACCGCTGGCTTGCTAGAGAAAGTGGAACCTGGTATGAATAGAAAGACCATGCAACAGGCTTTACACTACCCACATGAAAACTTGATTTTAAAAAATACAGCAAGATGAGCACTGCTCCTTACTACCTTTTAGCTTTATTTTACGTGTGTTTTCCTCAATCTTTGTGTTTAAT